ATTTGATGCTTTGCTTTGTGTAAAACAATAATTTAAAGGGGTAATCCAACACGGTCTGGCACCCTGTCCAGGGTGTACCCCACCTCTTGCCCAGTGTCAGCTAGGATTGGCTCCAGCCCCCCTGCGACCCTTAAGAGGATAAGCGGTTACAGAAAATGAATGGAAAGCCAACATGTTCTCCCTCCCAACTTGTCAAATATGGCAGCTTGGTCAGTGTTCCTATGCTTCAAACTATGACGCTATAGCTAGCCCTCTAGGGACAGCATGTGATTGCATGCACAGTGTAAAAAAAATAAAAAAATAAAATAATTGTCGCACAATGTACTTACATTAGTAAGTTAATGACTTTATCACATGATGTATGTATGTGACATGTATGTCACATGTTTTTAACTATGTAATGTAGTTTAAAAAAAACAATGTTTGCGTGTTGTGTTGCAAAAACGAACAGCAATCTGCTGGGTGAAAGTCCTGTGTTTGTTAAAGGTACCCTCATACAACAGTTGGTATGACATCTCTCAAATTAGTACCCCAAAAAATGAGCTATGTACTTGAGCAAAGTTACGTACTTATTGTAAAGTCACATAGACTATGTTTAGGAAGAGAAACATAGTTGGGTGTTTTTAGGTTCAGGCAAGTAATGTTAGGTTAGGAAGAGAAACATGGTGATGACATACCTTAAAACAACTCAAATTTAACCTGGTTGGTTTCCAGAGTTGGATATAGTGCGTTAACGCGTTAGAGTACTTTGATTACTTTTTGCAGTAACGAGTAACCTAACGCATTAATTTGCTGTTTGAGTAATCAAATACTTAAGTACATTTTCAAACAAGACATCAGTTACTTCCGTTACTTTTAGAACGCTGGTCCTTCAGCTCCGAAACAGCAACGGCTGTCGTTTGGTTCTAATAACGGAGATAACGTTAAACCTATCAGTCTGAAAGAAGCCACGGAGCTTGTGGCTCGTCGGAGAAATGCTGCCGTTGTCTATGGTGGAGTCTAAATAGGTGGAGTAGGAATCGCTGACAGATATATTTCAGACTCAGGACTTGCATTATGCCTGGTACACGCTACACGCTGGTACTCACCAATTATCCCCAGTCGTCTTTCACGGCGTGTGTGATGTCATCGGGTTATTCTTGTCCTGTTTTTATTACTTTGACTATTATTTGAATCACTGTATGTGTGTTCATGTGCCAGCCGACATGTTGTTGTAGTCACCTAAAAGCGTCAGCAGATGGCAGGAGCTATATTTGAAGCGCCATATGTAAACTGTCAAGCTGTCGTTCTGTGTTTCTACTGGTCAAAGTGACGGCTGTGATGGGAGAATTGGATCTCAGGGAAGGGCCAGTGTTCCATAACTTTAATTTTGGAGACAAAAAAATGTAGGCTTAGCGCCCCGTGGTCCATTGCCCAATAGGAAATCCACAATACTCAAAAGTACTTTAAAAGTGCTTGAGTTACTTTTCTCAGGGAGTAACATTGGAAGTACTTTTAAAGTAATTGAGTTACTTTACTCAGGGAGTAATGCAGCAAAGTTACTGGTTACTTTTTTTAAAAGTAATGCAGTAACGTACTTTGATTACTTTTAAAGTAACCCTTACCCAACACTGTACACCACCTCCCTTCCCTCTGCTTGGACTATCTGGCTTTATGTATTACATCATTAATGAGGATGAGTTTACATCAGGGTTAGTTAAAGGCTGGACAGTCTCATCCAGACGTGAAAAAGGGTGCCATGTGTGTTGAAACCTGGGAATGAGGATGGACTGGGAAATCAGCCAATTTTACACACCAAGGTGTGTTTCCAGGTGTTGGGAAGTTCTGTTGCATGTGGAAAAAAGTCTTTAGTGTCTCTAGATGGAGATGTGTGAAGTCTGATCAGTGTCCTCAAATGATGTCACATGAGTCAGTGTAGGTTGGGCCTGAAGACTAAAAGTTTGATAAGTAAGGAAATCTGGAGGTGTGGAGTTAGAAAGACGTGAGATTTCTGTAGTCCACTGCCCATCTCAGGCCGAACTGTTGGCAGCTGAGTTGCATTGTGGGTGTGGTGGGCTCGCTCTCTCTTTCTCGAGCCTGAAGTTTTAGGGTGTGACTAGAACTGAGTATGTTTAAGACAAACTCAGCTCTGATTGGGCAGTTATTTTCTCCTATTGTCACTGACACACAACAGAATAACTTATTTTCTGACCGATCTTAAGTGCTATATTGTAGGCAACTCATGCAAGGCCAGTTAAGCTTAAGATTACCAGGACCTGGATGACTGAGGATCTTCACCAATATGTTTCTGGGCAATGTGCTTATAGCATCTTTTTTATTATCCATGTCTCGATAGCACAAAAAAGATCATTCATGGAGAGGAAGACAGTTGTTGACCATGACACTCAGCTTTCCCTTCATGTTGTTTAAAGTTTTTTGTTGTTGAGTTGATGTGGAAAATTTAGTGTGCCTTTATTTTTGAGGGTCCAACCAGTTGGCTCCAAGCTGTCACAGGAGTGTTGAGTTTTGGTTGGTGGCATCCTGTTGCGTCTCCAGTGTTTGAGTCTGTATGTGTAATTGGGGATTAGTCTCTCTGGCTCAGGCTCCAAAAGGCTAGAACCTTCACATATTAGTCTCATTACATTATTTTTTCTGATTAGTTATTTCTATGGCCGGAAAGGGTTCTTGGGGTGTTATGGTGTAATTTATATCATTTTTAGGAGTACATTTTTACATGATTGAATCAGCAATGTTAATGTAATGATTCATAATCACATTTCTAATTTTTTGCTGATGCTATGTTTTGTTTTGTTTTTTTTCTTTTTTTTTGGTGTATTTTTGTGTTTTCTATCTTGCCTGTAACCCACTGTGTTCTTGAAGAGGATATTTTTCTGGTTAAACAAAGGTCAAATAAAAAATAAATAATTAATAAAAGACATTTGTCATAATTCGATTTGATAGCATCTTTGTTTGCACGTGATTTCTGTTGGCTATATAATTGATGACATTGCTATTGCTCAGCATCACTACCTCCAGAGGACATTATACAACATTATTTACAGTCTGAGTAGTACTACACATGACATTGTCATTTGTTGCATACCTCTGTGGGTCAGCCAGACAGTGATTGTTTTTCCCTGTTTTAGCTGAATTAAAGCCGTTTCTCTAACCTGAAAATCCAGATGCCCCGCCCCTAGCAAGTTCAAATTTGCACTGCACAGGATTCTGGCCCAGATGAGCAGAGCCTGCTGAATCGCCAGTCGGCCCAATCAGATCAGTCTATCTGACAGAGGCGGGCGTAACATGATGAGGACAGTGCTGCGCCGTAGGAGTCGAAAAGTAAAAAGCCAAGATGGCAGCTGCCAAAGGACCGCGTCCATTCAATTTAGCTTTGGAAGAAACGCTAAGCCAACTACACGTATTTTTTTCCTTGAGAGAGGAACAGAAGACTGCCCTAGAAGCCTTCACTTTCAGGAAGAACGTTTTTGCTGTTTTGCCGACGGGATACGTCAAAAGCATAATATATCAGTTAGCCCCGCTGTTTGGCAAACCAATAGTGTGCCAGGGCTGACGTCAAAACCCGGGAGTTTAGCATCACGCTGGTTCCCAGAAGAGAAAGTGAATGTGATTTTTGCATTGTGTTTTGGATTATATCAGAAAATAAGCTCTGTGGCTAACACAAGTTTATGATACTTACAGGTTTTGTTCAGCAAGATAATCTTCACATATGAACACCTTTCATACCGCATTTAAAGTTTAAATGCGATCGCCAGAAGTAAAAAGCTAAGGTTAGGCTTTAACAGACTACATGACTACTCCACAGTCGCATGACTCTTGACATCACCGCCACTAAGAATTCAACTGATTTCGGCCACTTTATTTTAAAAACATTATATAATGGGGAAATCGGCCTGTTTAAGCTAAATAAGAAGCTGTATTGGCGGACTGCCAGCACTCTTGCCTGTTCGGGGGTGATGACGTTTAATGTCCCCGACAGGGTTTGTAGTCCTATTGAGCAACTTATTAGCAACCGCTTTTTTTACGACACGTAAAAGCTTCAAAATTCACAAGTAGGGTATTTACTAATGTGTTTTATGTCGTAGAACAAAACCTGAAACTTGCTTAAGCTTTTGATAACCACAGACCTTATTTGAGGCATTTTACCAAAATCCCATTCAAAAAACGTATTGACTTTTAGACGAGAGAACCAGAAGTGCTAAAAGCGCTAACAGAGTTCCGGGTTTACTGGCATACTCTGTAGGGCTTAGTGCATTGAATACGTCACCTTGTTTTTTGCTCTGATTGGCCATCGTGCTATCCAATTGCATGCAGCGGCATTTGAAATGCCTCAGTTAGTGCCGCCCCATGGGTAGGAAGGGTGTATCGATGAGGGCAAGACTCAAAATCTTTCTAGATTTGAGTCTGGATTTCCAGGCTACCATTTCTCATCAGTGCAATGCGAAAATAAGGTTGCGAGTTGTGAAAAATCTGCATGCTTATTTTCCACATGACAACTATCCACACCAGGTCCAGTGCAAATTATCCACAATGTCATGTTCCATTTTCATCAAAAATAAAATAAAATAAAATACACATTGATGAGGCCAAGTGAGTTTCCTCCTAAATAGTACCTGTGTCCACTCCAAACAACAAAAATCTATCCAGAGAATGTCTAAGGGGCTAACATTAACTAAACATTAACATAAACTAATCAGACCTCAAATTTGATGCTAACGCTAGCTGTTGTGGCTAAAAAAAGTAAAGCGAGCAAAAAGTCAGTCCAATAGTTATGTAGAACAATGTTTGAAAAATCTGTATAATTTTGTCTACTGGTAATGTTGCTTTTATGCTTGTGACTCCTCAGATCTGGTTATTTTGTGGTGCTTTGGAAGGCTCCCCAACTTTAGGAATCACAATTTTAGCTGCTGCTAATGTTGCTAATGATTATGGGATCCAAATACTGACACTGGGTGTACAGTATATGTCTTTCTGACTGATTGTATCTGTGTGTCCGTGAATAGGTCTCCACTATGGGAAGGAGAGCATCCGCAGCAGTGGAGGCGCTGACCTTCACAACTTCATCTCCTCTGGCTTTGTGACATTGGGTCGCGGCCATCAGAAAGGTAAAGTACCTTTTCTTTCCTCCTGTCTTTTCTTCTCTTTCCTCTCACAGGAAATTGAATTAACTCTTCTTATCTACGAACACTGTGCTGTATCCTCGCTGCATGCTAAAGTGACCCGCATAATGTTCCACTTGCAATACCTGTGATCAACAACAAGACACTGACGGAGGTGAAATGTTTCCAGATTCAATTTCCCTCCCAAGCCATTCACATGAACTCCAGCCTCTGCATTTCGCAATTAAATACAGGCGAACACACACTTACTGCTGCTGATGGGCGACAGCGGGGTGGAGAAGGTGACTCTGAACTCACACACACACACAGACATGCAGCATTAGTCAAGGGGGTAGAGTTTTCCCATGGGTAATACACTGATTAGTATGCAGCCATGTTGGCCGAGCTCTTGTGATTTATTCCCATCCATTTTGGCTCCACAAATCAGACCCTGTGTGTATGTGTGTGTGTGTGTGTGTCACCCTGCGGGGGCTGTGAGGCAAACTCCCTTACCTGATACTGCTTTCGAATGTTTAATTGAATGTGTTTGTGACAGAGTGCGAATGCTTGTAATGTTTCATGGTGGCTGAATCCTTTAGTAAAAGTCTACATGATTTAAATGTAATTTGGTTCCACTACTGCATCTGTATTTCCACACTTCCTCTATGCTGATTTCCTGTTCATCATCCTAATCACAGCAGCTGATGGCCTGTCGCTGCTGTAATAAATACCAACTCAGACTGAGGTGTTGCTCAGCAGGCGTTCGTGGCTTCTTCACCAGTAGAGTTTTACAAAGTATCATGGCTTTGTTTCCAAGTGCACAAAGAACTGCAGGGGCCTGCGAGCATCTCTCCACTTCTATTTCTAATGGGGAGCCATCGTATTTGTGTTTACATGAAATTAGCTGTTTTTCTCCTTGCTTTTTGCTTCCTTTGTTTTCATCCCCAGAGGGGGTCCATTTCACAATGGTATTCATATGCAGCCAGAAAAAAAAAACCCTCTGCTGATATGCTCTGAAGTCCACCCCGCCCTCCACCCCCTGCATCTCTACCAGAGATGAGAAATGAGAAAAAAATGATTAGGTTTTATGAATCCTGATTCTTTTAAATAGATTTTCCCCACTGTACAAAGATCATAACGGCATCGCTCCGGCGTCTTCAGCTATATACTTGTCACAACAACAGCATGGGGTATGGTTTAGCATTCAGCATCTGTGCAGTGAAATCTGTGTTTTCTTGCAGCGGGTAGCCTTTGATTCCTCTGCTGCAAAAACAAATGAATCGTGACAGATTGAGATCTTGGAAAGGTCTGCTGACGCTAAGATTTCTTGCAAAAAGAAGTATGTGAAGCATGTGCAAGAGCCTCACTTCCTTAACAGTATTCTTCTTTCCAACATCTCTGTTCGACTGCTTCGTGCCCAGAGGCAGGTATTACTGTGGAATGAATCCTAAAATCAATGAAACCCTGGTCTGAGGTTTGGTTTGGGCATTGTTGCTGCTTGGTATTATCTTTAGCATTTCACAAGTGTACAATCACTTCAGGGTGATGGACGGAAACGAACAGTTTAACCAAGCCTCCCCCGCTCTCTCATAGTCTCTTTACAAGTACTCTTCATATCCAAAACAGCGGAATGGCTTTAGCTCCATAATACAGCACTTCTCTCCTTGACTGATTGAAGGATATAAATTGCTCCTACCTACAGTATATTCAGTATTTTTGACCACACGAGGTCATTTATGTTCCCAGTGTAATGATTTACAAATAAATCACTTGATCCCAGCATTAATCATCCAAAATCTGAGGATGGATTTTAACGTCCAGCATGGTGAACCTGTGGGCCAATGTGAACTTGTAGTGATGAGATGGAGTCACGTTAAGGTTAACAACAAGTAAACAGTGCAGGTGAATTTAAATCGCACCGGGCGTCATTAGTTTTGAAGAGGTTTGCACAGCTTGGTTTGCTCTGGCAGAGAGCAACAATGCTGGGAAAAAAAGAATGCAAATAGATATTCACTGGTCGGTCAGTGGAAAAATTCTGTTCCCACATGAATCTTGCTGCATTTCAGTTGTTGTTTTTTTCTTTCAGAATATGTGGGGGGTTTTGCCGCGCTAACATAACAAGGTTTAGGAGTCATGATGTAGTCCTCTGGCTTTCGTAAGCATGGCATCTCGTATGGTGCTTAATTATACAGGCAGAAAGTGTGTTTGGTTGTTAATTACATGGCAAGCCATGTGTGTGAGTGTGTGTGTTGCAGCACAGCCCTTGGGGAGGACAGGTGAGGTCAGAGAGTGTTGCTGAGCGTCAGAGCAGCTGGATGCTTCACATCTGTGTGGCAGGGTACAAAACAACCCTGTGCTGAACTCTAAATGAGATCTGCCATGAGCGCCGGGGTGGGAAACTAAAACCCAGCCTCTCATACTGCCATCCAAGAGTTTGTTGTAATGCATCTTTTTGGTGTACTAACCTTCCCCTCAGCTTACCCTGTGTTATTCTACTTTAGTTAGAGGTGTCCTAAATTTCCCAAAAATGCCTTTCAGCAACCTTTAAAAAAGGGGTCATGAACTTATTGTGGCCATCTCCAGGGTACACAGAGATGGGAGTGTTTTTATCTGTGTCCTAATTTCATTCTGCATACTGATTCTGAACAGACTGAAAGAAATTGTGAAGCACCTATTAGAAATGCAACGTATCTGTCACCTGTTGACAGTACTGTCTACATGTCTTGTAAAAATTGTTGTACCATAGTGGACTCAAATTATCCCCAGCCGAGTCGAATGTTTGTATTGTACTTTTCTTCAAATCACCGACTTGTTACATTTTCATGTTTCATACCTATGTCGTAGTTCAGAATACATGTATATTAGGAGGAAGAGGGGATGGTGTATGATGTGACACCAAAGCAAGACAGCTGCCAACCACTGCTCAAGACCAACAAATAGAATGTGGGACATTATCAGCCTTGTTTGTAGCAACAAAAGAAGGTATTTTTTAACAAGAGTTTGGGAAATTTTCATTCATGTTTGTAGCTACAAAAGTGATATTTTTTAACAAGAGTTCGGGACATTACCAGCTGTGTTTGTAGTGAAAAAAAACTTGTTATTTGTTACCAGGTTTTGAGACATTTCCAGTTATGTTTGTAGTGACAGAAGTGGATGCTTTTCATGAGAGTTTGCGACACATTCAGCCATGTTTGTAGCTGCAAAAGTGGACAGTTTGGGAAATTTCCATTCATGTTTGTAGCGTCAAAAGCAGGTATTTTTTAACAAGAGCTTGGTGCATTACCAGCTATGTTTGTAGCCACAAAAGTGGGTATTTTTTAACAAGTGTTTCAAATATTTCCAATCATGTTTGTGTCCACAAAAGGTTTTTTTTTTTTGAAAAGCGAGAGTTTGGGACATGTTCTGCCATGTTTTTAGAGCCAAAGTTGGTATTTTTTAACAAGAGCTCAGGACATTGCCAGCCATGTTTGTAGCAACCAAAATCGTGATGTTTTCATAACCATGTGTTTTTTCCTACCTAAACATGTTAAACACACCGTTGTCGTAACATAAAATTGATGCTGTACACATAAAAACATAAGAAGCAAAATAGCCTTGGTTTGCATAAATGTGTAATGCCAGCATTTATTCCAGTGATTAGGTAGATTATTCCACAATGCATAAAAAGTGAATAAAGAATTATTTGAGACATAGACTGAAAGATATTGCTGACAAAATGATGAAAAAGTAAAACAAAAAAAGTATGGAATCATTATAAAAACTGTGATCACCATCTTCCCTTCTCATTGAAAAAAAAAAACACCATTTCACATCTGGTAAATTCACTAATAGGCACACAACCCATTTGTCAGAGTAAACGTTGGCATGGTTTGTTTCATATGTTGCACATATGCTGGAACTTCATGTTACCTTGTGTTACAGTTTTTAATTTTATGTTGTGATGCCGTGGTTAATGTGTGGTTGGGTTATGACACAAAAAACACACATGGTTAGGGTTAGGGTTAGGAAAACATCATGTTTTGGCTTCAGAATACCCCGTTTGGTTGCTGAAAACACGGCTGGAAATGTCCTGAAAACCCTCGCTTCTGTGTGTCTTGAACAGTACTCTGCCACTGTCTGCTTGACAGTTGTCTCACCTTGGTGTCAAGCCATCCACCACTGTCCTGCTTCTCCTGAGACTCTCAGCTTATGCACATGTAATCTGAAGTATGTCATATATATGAAATGTACAAATGTAACATATCTGTGGTTTGCAGAAACCTACAATAACATTTTAGTCTGATAACTTGGCTGAGGCGCATTGACATTTATGTGTGGTAAATCCATACATAAATGTTTCATTGTAAATATGAAACATGACATGTGGAAACATCAATTTCACATGTGCTTGTTTAAAATGGAACTCTTCGAGTCAGCATCAGTAATAGCTGTAAATCAGCGGTCTCTGCTGTTGTAGGATGCTGAATGAATCATCACTCTGTGCAACATTTTATGGGAGGAGATCAAGACAAATATGCACATGGTGCTTTATACTGTAGTCCACTTAACATTAGCTTATAGAGCAATCACGTCTCCACAGATGGAAAGGAGCAATGTGACATTTCGTTGTCAAACCACTATCAGAGATGAGGTTTTTGTGTTTCATTTTTGCAGTTTCGTGACTCCCTCCGAAACCTCTGCTGCTGTATGGAGTCAGGTGTAGTGTGAGGGTGGGTGGCCATCTGTTCCCTTCATGTTTTCCCTTTGCTTAATGTCCTGGGTTTGTCGAAAGAGTGATGAACATCCAGAAATACTGGCTGCAGAGGTGGCTTTCATTTGGGATTTTGGAGTAAATGCTTTCTTTTTTCTTGTTCTTTCTTTTGGGGGAAGATTTAATGGCATAAACAACATGGGGTCACTTTTGTTTGTTACTTATGTTTTTCAAAAATCCCCCACATTTTTTGAACTCCAGCCTTGTGTTTTCCCAGTGTGACAATCTTTCAGTAATGCTAAACTTTATTTAGCAT